AATTAAAAAGTTTTTTTATAGCATGCAATTGTTTTTCTACTTGGATAACATTTTTTTAAGCTATCAAGAAAACTATTTAGTTGAGAGGCCTAGTTGGAAACTAGAGCCTGCATTAGGACAACTTAATGATTTTTTTTAGATAAGAGCACAATTCACTTGGAGACCAAAAGTGCTATGAGAAAATCAAGCATATTCATATGAACTACCATTTCATCAAGGATAAATTTATCTCAGAAATTTGCATGGTGCATAATTTCATGGACATGTTTACTAATGTGATCCCTATTCTCAAGTGTTGGCAATACCTGAACTTGATTTGTTTTTGTAGCCATTGATTCCATTTATGGAATCAGGTGGGGAGGCCAATATTGATTGAGTATATCTGGCTATTTACTTTATTTCTTTATTGATAAGAAGAATTTGATATTAGGTAAAAAAATTGTTGGCATCATATCAAATTATAAAGGGTGATTTTACAATTCCCTCTAATGCCCTAATTTAATCTTATATAACCAATGGCTCTAATGCTAACGATGGAGTTAAAGATAAATAATTTTTTCAAGGAACCATGCATGAGAACATAGAGAAAAATCAAATGTTTCCAACGTATCAATTGGGTTGGAGAATGCGACTTCCCCGTGCAAGAAAGAAGAGAATTGGGGAAAATTGAGGGATTATTGGTTTCTTCTTTTTTGCTAAGAGAACTAGTGGAAAAAAAATAAATTTCTCTTATCTTCGTTTTATCTCTCTTTGAGAAAGATTGCTTCACATTTGGTTAAATTTTTGCCACGCCTCCCTGGTAGATTTCTGTTAAGAAATTTTGTACATTTTGGTGCAATTATTTTGTACTCCCACATATAATTGAAAGTGAAATTATTTGTTCCTCCTAGTCATGTGGATGCAAATCAATCTTGACCAAACCACATAAATTATGATCCTCTTGTATTTATGGACTTGTGCATAATATTTCAATATCATATATATGCATAGTGCTAATTTTGTTTTGCCTAGGTAAATCACATAGCTCCCTTTTGTGCTTGCGAAGAGAGATAAATTGGCTGCTTTCATTACAACAAGAACAAAAAAAATGATCAAAAAAACTGGTAAGCACCATCTTCCTAAAGAGTTAAAAGAGAATGTACTTTCACCTGATCATAACCATAAATCGCCTATGAACTCTGATGCAACATAGCCCCTGGAATAATGATCATATGCTTTAAATAGTCATAAGCATGGCAAGAGTTTCCCATGCAATGGAAACGTAAAATCTTATTCTTTTCAAGCAAGATTTCCAACCTTGAAAATATTAATATCATGAGCAAGGGTGGAGGAAAACTACTTGTCAAATAAAAAAACATCAGCCAAATTTAATTTAACATTCACCTTTTTCTGTTGAAAAGACCAATCAGCATCTGTTCAGCCTTGCTAAGACCTCTGTTCTGCTGCTGAAGCTTCTTTTGCATATCCTGAAGTTCGAAGCCAAAGCGAAAGATGAACATGTAACCTGCAAGCTTAGAGATAAAAGGAACACCGAAGAATAAAAGATAGGTGAGGAAGTTCATTTTCTGTCCCGTCTCCTTACACTGTTGTAAATGCATATATATGAACAGATATTATGTAACCAACTTTCTGAGGTAGTTATACTTATGGGACAGGTGTAGAGGTCTGATTTGCTACCGAAATTGCAGGCAGCGAACCACCTGAAAACCAGCATAACTGTGTGCAAGAAGGTAGTATGTATTGATCTTATTATTTTCTAGTTGTTTTCTCAGAAACACACTTGGAATATATCAAATGTTAAGTAAGCAAAAGGTACAACAAATTTAGTAATAGTAACTGTACATCTTACATCTTCCTTGAAATAAAATTAACCAATTCTACTTTTACATAAATATGTTAAAAAGTGAACACTGGCAAATTCTAGGCTGAATTGTAGAGAAAACTGCAGCTATATACTTATCTGAGTGTTCATTAAGCAATAGTATTTTTAAACTTGATGGTGAAAGTAGAACTTACAAAAGTTCTTCAATCAACGGCTAATAAATCATGCAGCAGAGAAGCCATGTATGGATCATTTTCAATCTTTGGCGCACCAAACAGCATAGATACCAATGAGCTCCACATAGAAGCCACCGGAATCTTTCCTTGGCTGATCATTTCCTCAAGCCATAATAGGGCTTCATACATAGTTCCAATGGAGCAGAGTCCTTGAATCACACTAACAAAAATTGTACACTCGGGCCAATATTTCCTCTTGTGCATCTTCTCCAAGACATGAGCCGCCTCAAGATAAAGTCCTTCAGCGCAGAAACCAGTCACCAGAATCTCATATGACTGTTTCGGGGCAACACAACCAAGCTGTTTATCCATTCTATCCAGATAACCCATTGCTCTTGTCGATTCCCCTTTCATGCAAAGCCCCTCCATCACCAGGTTATAGGATCTCACCGTAGGCACACATCCACTCTCCACAATTTCCACCTCCAACACTCTCATTCCATCCTCCACCCTCCCTTCCCTGCAAAGCGCAGCTATCTTTGCCTCATAGATGGATATCGGCGGTCTAAATCCCTTCTGTGTCATTTCATCAAGCATCTTACCAGCGTGAGTAAACTCACTCTCCGCATACAAATCTGTTATCATGGCATCATAGCTCGCGAGGCTTCTAATCCCACGCACCACAAGCGCCTCGTCAATTATCCTCTTCATCTCCTCCAGGTTAGCCGCGATGGAAAGAACCGGCCTTTGGAACGCTTGTCTCGCTCGCGGCGACCTGAGCCCCTTCTTCAGCACCTTGCCAAGTATCTCCTCCGCCAATTCGACCCTTCCTGCGGCGCAGAGGGACTCAAGGAGCGTGCGGTAGACGACGACGTCAGCGTCGCAGCCCTTTCGAGAGATCCTCCACAACATGGAGTAGAGGAGGTGCACGGCGTCGTCGAGCCGGCCGGCTTCGCAGAGGCCCTTCATGAGGATACGGTAGGTGTTGCGATCGGGGTAGCAGCAGAGCTCTCGAATGGCAGCGAAGGCGTGGAGAGCGAGATCGGGACGGCGGAGGCGGCATGCTACATCGATGAGGAGGTTGAGACCGTGA